AATCAGTAAAAAAAAAAAATTAAAAATAATAAAATAATAATAACATATTTTAAATTTTAAAACCAGTACATGTAAAAGGGTTAACAACCCAGCTGACATCACGACATACTAATACAGAAGCCGCTTTTATTCAGAGCACCGGGCAAATTAGGTCTTTTTTGCCCCAGGATGCACCCACACCGGGTCCACTAACACCCGGGTACTATTGACTGAGGGGTAAACTGGACAAGGTGTAAAAAACCCCCAACAATTTTTCCTTTAACCCCCGACACTCAGGTATCCGTATTTTCGGCGTGGAAACGAGAGTTTTCCTACCGGGCCACAGCCGCCATAATAGGGCAGTATGTTATTTACAGAAATACTCGACATTGTCTGTAAATCTTTCATTAGGTCCCTTTTGTAGAAAAAGCCCTTTTTATATTAAAAAAACTTAATTTTTCTTAACCAAACACGGAATAAATACGAGAAGTGCATTTCTCCAGTGTATTTATACTGATAGTTTACTCAAATACCTTTTTTTGGGTATTAAGGATTTGTCTGGTGGGCAAAAGGTTGACCGTCCAGCTAATGACCCTATTAGTCGAAGGGTTTAAAAACCCCCTTAAACCAACTAACTTTAAAAACTAAGAATGTTATCCGCCTAACCAAGGACATTTTTTATGCTGGCCGCACTACCTTTCTATCTTACTTTCGTATGCTGGCCGCATACCTTACTTACTTACGTCTGTATCGTCCCCACTACCTTACGTTATCTTTTCGGTACGTATGCTGGGCCGATACCTTACGTTTCTTACGTTACGTAGGGTCCGCACTACCTTCCTTATCTTTTTACTGTTGCGTCCGCAACCTTAAGTTATCTTTCGGTCTGTAGCTGGGGCCCCTACCTTTTCGTTATTTACGGACGTATGTGGGCCCACTACCTACTTTTTCTTAGTTTCTGTATGCGGTCCGCCCTACCTACGTTATCTACTTACGTATGTGGGCCGCCTACCTTAAGTTTCTTCGGGAGTATGTGGTCCGCACTACCTTACGTTATCTTTCGGTACTGTAGCTGTCCGCACTCTTACGTTTTTCTTACGTTACGTATGCTGGTCCGCATACCCAAAATTTTCTTTTTTACTGTATGCTGGTCCGACTACCTTACTTATCTTATTACGTAGCTGGGGCCGCACTACCCTTTCGTTTCTTTCGTTACTGTAGCTGGGCCCCACTACCTTACGTTATCTTACGTACGTATGCTGGGCCGCCCTACCTTACTTATCTACGTTACTGTATGTGGGCCCACTACCCACGTTACTTAGTTTCTGTATGCGGCCGCATACCCTTCGTTACTTTTCGTTACTGAGCTGGGCCCCCTACCCTTTCGTTATCTTTCGGTACTGTATGCTGGCCCCCACTACCTTACGTTATCTACGTTAAAGTATCTGGGCCGCACTACCTTACTTTTCTTTCGTTTCTGTATGCGGTCCGCCTACCTTTCGTTATCTTACGTTACTGAGCTGGTCCGCACTACCTTACGTTTCTTACGTTTCGTTGCGGGGCCGCACTACCTTTCGTTACTTAGTTTCTGTAGAAATAAAAAAAAATCCCAAATTTGTGCAAACATAAACTTTTTCAGTGCTGTCCTTCTTAAAAAAAAAGTATTACTAATAAATTTTATTCTTATTTTTTTTTATCACCTAAAAAGCAAATTTTTTATGAAATACAGAAATTTTTCTTCCCCGGAAAACGAAACAAGTACAACACAATATGTGTTACATTTATGTAAAATTCAGTGGTGTAGTGGCTAGGGTTCAAAAATTAACAGATAAACCAACAGTGCCTTTTGACCAACTTATGTATGAAAAATTTAAACCCCAAACACCAACCAGTAAATATTGAATTGATACTATGTGATTTTTTTTTATTTTTTTTCTGTAAATTTGTGTAATAAATAAAAATAATAATTAATAATTTAAAAATAAAAATAATAATAAAATAATAAATATTTAAATAGTGTTGATGTACTTTGGGGAAAGTTTTTTAGTCAAAAAGGGGAACCAACGCCCGGGTTTTTGGGTTTCGTGGAAATATGGGGATTAGAAAGAATGGGGAGTTTAAAAGAAAAAAACTGGATTAATCACACCCCAAAAGGATTATCAAAGTGAATGGGGGACTGGAAAATTTAAAAAAACGTTGTGGGGTCCTTTAATTGTGAAATTCAAAATCTCAACTGCAGTAAAGTTGATGAGTGAATATAAAAGACTGGGACGGGAAAAGTGGGGCACCCAGTAACTTCCCATTTTTACTACATAAAATTTCTAATTGACCATCCTCTTTTTACATCTATCGTTAGGGTTTGTGTTACATTCAGACCCAAGAAATATTTGGGGTGTGTGTTTCTTAAATTTAAAATTTATAATTGTTAATTGAAAGATAAAAATTGTATTTGTAATTTACGGCATTTTCTATTACATTTTTCCTATAAATTTTATTTTTTGGCCCAAACCACAATAGTAAAGCCCGGGCATTAATAATCCATTACATCACAAACAAATTTACCCCTTGTTCTGGTTTTAAATTTTAAAAATTCAAGTTTTTTAAAGGTCACGATGTGAGGTGGGATGAAGGGGTGGGTATCCAAGGGGGGGATACTGTTGTCCCCATATCCCTAAAACCCTTTACTCCGAGAACAATAAAACCAAATGTTTGGGGTGCCTCCCCGATTATGTCTGTAATTTAACACGTAATTCCAACATACCAAGTATACAAACTTAGAAATTAAATGATAGATTCAAAATTACAGCAAATGTATTTAAAACATCTGTGCAAGTAGGGATTTTGCAGCAGTATTTTTAAACGCCGTTGTACTGAAGTGCAAGTACCAGCACGGACCCCCAAAGATCATGAGGGGAGTAACAATGATACCAAAACCCGACTTTTTACTGTTTTTTAATGGTTATTTGGTTTTTTTTACATCCTAAAAGAGAAGAGAGAGAGAGAAGAGAGAGAAAGGAGTTTGTTGACCCCCTGCAACTACTCTTCCCTGCTAATGTGAAGGCCCTAAAAAAAAATTAAAATTCAAACAAAAGACATGTTCATGTGACAACGAATTACATTTCACTGATGATCTACGAACATGAAAGCCCAACACTGTAAATTTTTCCACTAATTACCTATAAATTAATGCTTTTTAAAGCACAATTACTAGGAAAAAATCACATAGATGAAACAATGACTATTGTACCCGTGTGTACCACAGTTATAAGTGTACCCAAAAGCAGGTATATGTTTCCATAGTGTACCGGATACCACGTTACCACGTGCCACAGGTTTCCATAGTGTACCACAGTGTATCACTCAAAAACAATAGCCAAATTACACAGTGTACCATAGGTACCCCAATTTTACCAGAGTGTATCACAGTGTACCACGTATCAATGTACCGAGTGTTTTTGTTTCCATAGTGTACCCATGTAATTGTATCATACTTTACCACATGTCCCCTGTACCACAGTTAAACAGTTCCGCAATGTATCAGTAACCCAATTTTTCCGTAATTTTCCACAGTGTACCATTGTAGTATAGTTACCAAATTGCTCAGTGACCCCTATACATGTACCATGTACCCATTGTACCGTCACCCAAAGGGGCCCATGTATATACAAACAAAAAGACTTGGGAGACGATGCACCCTCCCCCAAATTTAAAAAGGGGGGCCTACCTTAAAGACCATACAATAAGTGTCAGGGGCCCAACTGTTCAACTGCCTCCCAGCACACATAAGGGGATTACAACAGACCCCGGGATTTTTCAAGCTGGGACTGGGCAAGCCCCAAAAGTCAATTTCCCGATCAGCTGGGCTGTGGCCGTACGTTGGTTTTCTGCAGCCAGCCCGAACAGCCTTTGATCAGGCGCGAACCCCAGGAGGCCCGGGGCACAGCCGGGCCGCGGGGGGGTTGCCCCCGAAATCTCCCCCGGGAAACCCATAAACTCCATGTACCTGTTTCCCCCTATTTAGCGGGACATTGATACACTGTGGGACGTGTGGTACACGAGAAAACTGGAAACTATGGACTGCCCAATATACTGTGGTATCGGATTAGGTCACGATACATTGGTACTGTGTGCACTGAACAATGGTTGTGGTACATGATACATATGGACACTGGATGTGTACACTGACAGTTGATTTCATTGTACGTGGTACACTGTGACTAATACATTGGTCTTTGGACACTGAACAGTAAAGGTACACTG